ATAAATTGATCACTGCAGTCCTTCAAAATCCATTTTTGGAGGATCATTGAAATATTAATTGTGGTTGCCTTCTCAACATAATTTGATGCTCAGTTCATCCACTTAAAAAGATGTCCTTTGACTCCTTTCCCTGTGTGGAACCCCAACTTAGTCAATTTAGACCGTTCCAACACATCTATCATTTCCTCAAGCAAGTGAATTTATGCATGGTTTCTTTGTAAAGAAAAAGATCAATGATAGAAATTTGAATTTTGTTTAAGAAAAGAAGAGGGTAAGAAATAGTAGAGAGCTAGATGTAGTGAAGTAGATGACAATCATGTTCATGTGCAGATTTAGTTCCTCTCATTTGTTCATTCATAACTTGAGGTTAAATAACTATTTATTATAGTCAAATGGACATTTGTGAACAGAGAAATCGAAAAGTTGAAGCTCTCTGAAATGACATGCAGAGAGGGGGTTATTGAAGTTGCCAAAATGTGAGTATGCTTTAATGTCTTTCTTTTTCTTTCTTTTTCTTTCTTTTCCTTTTTTCCCTGTAATATGCTTGCATTTAGAGCGATTTCCTCTATTCAAGAGTTTGTCTTTCATGGTAGTTTTAGATTCATTTTGTGCGTTATTCTTGGGCAGCATCTACAAGGTACATGACGAGGCAAAGGACAAGGCCTTTGAATTGGAAATGAGTTGGGTCTGTGACGAGTCCAAGAAACAACATGAAAAGGTAATATCTGATACTCTTTTGGAAAAGCATTTTCGTAACGTTTCCAACTAATCTAGAACAGCAGAGGTCCTAGTCCTACAGGAGAAAAGAGCTTTGGTTATTTGGCTGAAGTACGTTACTCTGTCTCCCCCCTTCTGGATCCAGAGAATATTAGTATTTTACTAATACCCCTTGACGTGTAGTAACTTCATTTTCCACCTCTGTGCTCACATCTTTTCATGTAAAGATATTTGAACGTTGAACCTATTTCCCCCCCCATGTCTCTCTCTTCACCCACATTATGTATTAGTTTAGATTGTAAGTATTGCTGTAATTTTCAGTCCCCTATATCCTTACCTTTGGCAATCTTTCAGGTTCCTGACGCACTGTTAGAGGAAGCAAAGGCTGCTGCTAGAGCTGCACTGGAAGAAATGGATGCTGATTAAGTTTTACCGAGAGCTTGTAATCTTCATGTTTTGATCTTCTAATCTTCACATATTTCCCGATGTCAAGAAGCTGATGCTGATGGTTTTATGTATGAATGAATTCATTGCTCAAACTCGTTTCCCCATATTATATTTATCTCTTTGTTTTAGGAATGTACTATGAATTTGACACAGATCCAATATCAAGAATGATCAGTTGCAAAACAAACATGGATATCGTTCTTAATTTTGCCACATACCCTTTTAATTACTCCATAAACAGATCCGATAGTATTGCTTAAAAATTGAAATTTCCAATACACGAGCAAATTATTTCACACAGTATTTATCAGTATGCATCATCATATGCAAATTTAAAATAGCTGTACTTGATTATAAGATAGATTAGAAGTACATTTATTTCAGCCAGAACACGAACATCGTGTTCTGATGTGTTCTATATATCCTCAACCCCTGACCTGATGAAGCATAGTCAGCAACATCTCACCTTCAGTCACCTGAATTTGGAAAAAGGTAGATAATTATGTTTCATGTCAAACTAAACCATTAATTAAGCCTATAAAATAATCAAATTGAGATGCATAAATCAAGCCAATAAAATAATTAGAACTTTTGAGAGATTTTGTTGGAATGATATTACTCCATGAATAGCAAGTACTGGACAAATAATCCATGAATTGCAAATTTTGGACATAAATAAATAGAGTCAATGGACACAACACAAAGGTAGTATCTTTTAGAGGCAGATACATGGCAGTTTAAGAAGCACTTACCTAAACTTGATTCAATGATTAAGAATTTGATATTTCGACCTGAAGATTTTAGGTTTAAATTTTGAGTCGGATAAAAAAGAATTTAAGAAAAGAAAAAAACTATTTCTATTATATAATCCATCATTATTATTATCAAATGTACTAAAAAGTAAGCACCTACCTAAACTTGATTCAATGATTAAAAGTTTGATATTTCAACTCGAAGATCTTTAAATTTAAATTTTGAGTTGGGTAAAAAAAAATTTAAGAAAAGAAGAAAGCTATTCCTATTGTATAATCCATCATTATTATTATCAAATGTACCAAAAAGTAAGCACCTACCTAGCTAAGTGCTGGAAGCTGCAGGAGCATCACCGACAAGCTTGAACTCCTGGACCTCCTTGAAATTCAACCAAGGCTTCTCCCAGACCTTAGCTTCGTAGACTTTCTTCTTATCACCATCCATTGCCTCCAAGGTTATATAATACATCATTCCAGAAACCACCTGCTCCTTTGCATTCACCACTTTCTTATATTCCAAAGCCGAATTCTGTACAATCATCAAAAACACAAGCACAACATTAATCTAAGGAAAATCAAATACTTACTTCCTATTCGAGCATATCTTTAATTAACTCATTATAAGAGAAACATAATCTACCAATAAGAACAGAAAAACAGATCATATATATCTCCAGTCAACGGCGTCCATTTAAAGTCAAATCCAGCATCCACACAAAATAATTGTACAAATAAACTCTAGAATCGCAGGTTTGCTTTGGATCGATAAA